AAGGAAACTATCCTAATCCGCGATATTCTGAGCCGACTTCAAGATAAATGGAAATCTTCCGAGAATATCGCTGGAGAGGCGGTTTATCACCCCTATATAAAGAGACTCAAGGCTCAAGCAAAGCTAAGCAACATCGCTCTAGAATTTACACTACGCAAAGCTCTCACAGCACAAACATCTTTTTCCTTTTACGATCAAACTCTTGTACGATCAAAGTCATCTTTTTCTTAATAATATCAAGAACATCATCTTTGGTTACAATCGTTTCTGTTGTTCTTTGAGAATTCACGATTATCGTATCCCTAAAATAAAACCCTAGACAAATCTTGATTGTGTTAGTTTCGACTTCCACAAAACACATGCTTAGTAATGATATTGACATATATCTTCAACCTTTTATTGAAGAACTAAAAGACTTGTGATATAACGGTGTACCAACTTTTGATGCCTCAAAGAAAGAGACCTTCTGTATGCGGGCAGCTCTGTTATGGACCATCAGCGATTTTTCAGGATTTGAAAATTTGTCAGGTTGGAACATATATACTACAAAGATTCGTTTACATAATAGAAAGAAAAACTGCTTCATGGGACATCGCCTGTTTCTTCCTCCTGACCATAAATTTAGAAAAGATAAGCAACATTTTAATGGTTGTATCGAATCTAGGCTTCCTCCGATCACACAATCAGGCTCCATTATTTTCCAACATATTGAAAATGTCAATGTTACATTGGGAAAGATTAAACATAGTGGAAGAAAAAGAGGACGACAAGATGCTGGAAGTAGTGAAGTACAACAGTGGAGGAAGAAAAGCATATTTTTTAAATTGCCTTACTAGAAACATCTTCTCTTGCGACATAATCTGGATTTTATGCATATAGAGAAGAATGTATTTGATAATCTTGTCTTTACATTTTTGGATAACAAAAGCAAGTCAAAAGAAAATCTTAGCGAGAGAAAAGATCTTCAAAAACTTGGTATACGTGAAGTACTGACAGTACTGTACTGTCGCCTGATGGAAATGAGAGATATCTCTCTGCCTGTTTTACAATGACCACCAATAAAAAAGATATTGTTCTAACATTTCTAGATGTGTTGATATAAATCAGAGAAAGATGATGAGATTAGAGAGTCATGATTGTCACATCTTGATGAGTCAATTATTGTCTATCGCAATACGTAATGTGTTACCTCCTGAGGTTGCATTTTTTGTAGTTGAGCTATGTAACTTTTTCCGAGAAATATCTTCTAAAGTACTTGATGTCAACAATCTGGATAAGTTGCAACAGCATATCACTATCACTTTATGCCATTTAGAGATGGTATTTCCTCCCTCTTTTTTCACAGTAATGGTGCATTTGACTGTTCATTTAACAGAATAGGTAAAATTAGGAGGACCAGTCCAATATCGATGGATGTACCCTGTTGAGAGGATGCTTGGACATTTTAAATCTTATGTTCGAAATCGAGCAAGACCAGAAGGTTCAATCTGTGAGCAATTTATTGCTGAAGAATTTTTAACATTTAGTTCCATGTATCTTTGTGGAATTGAAACACGATTTAACCGTGTTGGGAGGACGGATGATCGTCAAATGTTTGAGCATGTATTAGGTTCAGATTCACAGATTCCACTAATATTTCCTTCGATTAGGAAATTTGTTGGTGCTTCTACGTTGGATACTCTTAGTCATGTAGAGTGGCAGCAAGCGCATCGATATATCTTATTCAATTGTCCTTTCTTGGATGAATATCGCGAGTAAGAGTTAGACTTATTTTTTTTAAAAATCCATGGTCTTTAAGATATTATAACTGATTTTTGTTTATTGGAATAATGTATAGGAGATTTAAGACTGAGTTAAGAAGTTCATAGTTAAGACGTCAAAAAAGAGTAATGTTATAGATATTTATCGACATGTGCATCTCTATTTTGGTAAAAGGCTGAAAGATAAAGTAAAGAAAAATGATATTAACAATATATCTGAGGATATTCGCTGTCTTGCCCATGGTCCATCTGAAAAAGTGTTAAGTTTTCTGCATTTAATATTAATAATTTTAAGTTCAGAACTACAGAAAGAAATCAAGAGCTAAAAACTCAGAATAATGGAGTGTTTGTCTTTGCTGAAACTATTAGTTATTGATGTGCGTAGAATTTCACTTCACAACTTTTACCAGAAAGACTACACGTTAAACTGCAAGTAATCAGAATAGTATTTAAGGATCGATCCCACAGAGAGTGTAGCTACGGGTTATTGAATTCAAACAAGAAGATTTAGCTAAGACAAAACTAAACTTTGGGGGTTTGGTTTCAGGTTTCCTAATAACTAATGTAATGTAAACTAATGAAAGCTAAGATGATAAACACTTGTAAGCTAATATGACTAAGGCGTTGGGCCTTCTAGGGTTTCTCCGAGGATCATGATTTTCGACTAACTAGGGTTTAGCTTTCTAGGGTTTTTATGTTTTCGTTCTAGCTCATAACTACGAAAGGCGAATGAACGAGTTATCCTAGGTCATAGAATAAGCCGGCAAATCTCTCTATACTCTGTTACTCAACTGACGCAGGCAACGACGCATAATTCGTTGCATTAGGGTTGGATTCGCTAAGTACTGTAAGTACTGTAAGTCCTGTTATCAACTTACGCAGGCAACAACACGAAGGATTGGTAACACTTATGTCCGAGATTAGGTTTACCCGATTAGAGCTCCTAACCTCTTAAATCAGCGTTTGGTGATCAATCCAAACACATGCATTAAGTAAAAGATTTCCTAAAAATCTAAGTATAAACGAAATAATAGATCTATAAACATAATATGATTTGAACCATAAATCCTCTTTGAATCACCCCATAAAACCCAACAAAGAAAACTACTCGCTCATGATGCTAAGATACGACATGGAGATGAAGTAGAAAAACATAATAAATGAATTCGATAAAACAAAGGGGGTTCAAAGAAGTCTTCTCTAGTATCACAGAAGATACTTGTCTCCCCAAAATTCTTGAAAGAAAGAGTATAAGAAAGAGTAGAAGAAAAAACAATGAAGAACAAAGGAGAGAGCTTCAAAGGACGACTTCTTCGATGGCAATAGCTTCAACGAGGTGGAGCTAGGAGAGCTGAGAGTCTCATCGATGGAGGCTGCGGGATCTAGGTTTAGGAGATGGTGAGGAAGCTGTGAAGAGGCCGTAGGGTTTCTTCAACTTGTCTCAGTATTTATAGGCTTCGATTAGGTCAAGGGGCAAAACCGTTATTTCCCACGAATTAGGTTAAGTGAGGCTCGAGCTTCTGGATAGGGCATGACTAGGTATGACCGGGGTGAGGTGTGAAGGCCAGCCCGGGCTCGGGCTCCATGACCGGGGGCCCCAAGAGGCGCCGGACCGGGCGCAAGGCTGTTTGGCTGGTCCGGGACATGTCTTCACTCCTCGGGTCATAAATTCCGAATGGATTAATGAAATGGTTTGATTCCATTTTGAGGCGAATCATGACTCTGCTAGATTTCCACAGCCACCAATATCTCTTGATTTGGTAATCGGGAAAGCCTCGAACGGATGCCATACTTCTGAGGTACAGAAACTGTCTTAAAACGGGATTTGATCGACTTTTACTCCTTTTTGCTTGAAAACACATTATTCATCCTTGAAACATAAATACTTGGAAACATCCTTGAAATATCCAATATCTCTTGTTTTCTTCATGAAAAACCTAAATAAAACATAGTTAAAGTCGGGTAAAATACGATTTTATCAGTTATGCAAGTTCAAGTGATACCAACCCAAGAGCTGGAGATGTTTCTTATCATGGGAAACTAGTTGAAATAGTGGAGTTGAATTATTATGATTATTTTAGAGTTATATTGTTTAAATGCATATGGGCTGATACCCGTGATTTCAAAGGCTATAAGAAGGATGGTTTTGGTCATGAAGCTGTAAATTTTTGTCGTCCAATTCATATAGTGGAGATGGTGAAGAAGATGAGCTGTATGTATTGGCTTCTCAAGCAAGATTAGTTTATTTTGTGGAAGATCCGCAAGAAGAAGGATGGAATGTAGTAGTACGAGTCCAACCAAAAGATTTTTATGATATGGGTGATCAAGATCCTCAAAATATCATCATTGAAGATTCTGATATTCAAAGTTCGATGTTGATTTCCGATAATGCACCTAATATTACATTAGTGAGACAAGTGGAAGATCTTTACAATTCTTATGCTCTAAATGATTTAGATGATACTATAGAGGTATGTTCATTAGATTATAACGTTGGTTTGAGTTTGTATGATTTTAACGTTGAGTTTTGACACTTGAGTGTTCTGGTTTTTTTTTTTTTTTTTAAGTTTCTACTTTAGTTGTCTGTATTTTGAGTCCAGAGTTAATACTAATGTCTTGTGTTTCTAATTTTAGGTCTAAATTCTACAGATGGAAAATCTCTTTGCTCCACCTCCTCTTGAACCAAAATTAGCAAGTGGGAAGTGGAAAGTTCATGTTAGAAGTTTGTATAATGATACATTTGTAAGAAACTACTTGTATGTATATATGGGATGTTCTTATAATTAACATGATCCTGGATTTTAGATCTACATGGGTATATTACAGAAGAAAATGTCTCAGGAAAGCAAGTGTGGAGCATGCAAAATCGTCGTGTTATAGTTGATTTCAATAGAAAAGGACTACCTATCAAAGATTTAGGTGGCTTGTTGGGTTCATGGTTGAGATCACTCAGCTATGATTGTAATAGCTTATCTATAAATTACACTGATTGGAGAATAGTTCCTCACTATAGGAAGGAGATGGCATTGAAAGTGATTCAGGTATTGTAGAATAGATTATTTCATATAAATAAGATGGTTTTCATTATACTTTTCTTTTAACCAATAGTTTTTTGTTTGAATATAGAGAAAAATCTGGTTCGATGACCCAATTATGAGAAAAAAATATGTGATATCTACTTTAGGAAACCGATGTAAAGATTTAAAGCAGCGTCTTTGGAGGAGGTATAGAAAAAATAAACTCGAAGAATCACTTGTGGCTCGGCCAGCCTTGGTTCCAGAAGATCAATGGAGAGATTTCGTTCATGATCAATTCAGTGATAAAGCAAAGGTAAATATGTACAATATTTATTAAGAAAATTGTAACATTTTTGTTATATTATCTAACTACAGAAAATGAGAGAGCGTAATATTAAGAGTCGAAGCAAACTAAAGATACCACATGCCCTTGGAAAAAAGAGTTTGGCAAGAAAAGCTCATGAAATAGTAAGCTTACATAAGTAGCTTTATGGTTGTTCTCATTCCCAAGTTTCAGTGCTGGTTATAAATAACTCTTTATATCTGTTTCAGGAAGAAGAGACTGGTATTGAACCAAGTCGAGCAGAAATATTTATTGCATCACGTATAAGAGTAGATGGAAGTATGATTTGTGAGGAGCAACAATTTGTGCGGTCAGTTCTTTGTTTCTTTGAAACTATGTTGTTAAATTGGTTTCTTATTCTATATTATTAGTTTATTGTGTTATAGCTTTTTGCATGTTACAGGATAAACTTAAAGAAGTTATGAGCCAGAAACTGTCAAGCGATATGCCAAGTAATGATGTTGTTGCACAAGGTTTTGGTCCTGAGCACTCTAGACGAGTTCGATGCGTAGGACGTGGCCCGACACCATCCAAGTACTTCGCAAGCTTTGAATCTACATCAAGTAATCTAGAGATGGTCGAGATGAAGTCCAAAATTAAAATACCTGAAGACAAATTGATATTGTTGCTAGTGCTCTTCAGGTTTTTATTAAATCCAGAGACATCCGATTCCTAGTAAGTGAATCTATTCTTATAAGATTAGCAACGTTAAGAGTACTATAATTTTAAAATACATTACTTATATAGGAGAATGAGAATGGTGGAAACATAAAGCTTGCTAGTTCTCTTGAAGTTCTTCTTGAAGCTTGCAGAGACATTCAATTCCATGTAAGTAAATGAATGTTCTAAGAATGAGAATTGTAGTGGTGGAGTATATATGATTAACAGTTCTAAGATAATGAGAATTGTAGTGGTGGAGTATATATGGTTAAGAGTTCTTATAGAATGAGAATTGTAGTGATGGAGTATAGTGATGGAGTATAAAAATGAAAATTATAGTGGTGGAGTATAAGAATGAGAATGTCTTATATTAATATGTTCATTAATTAATTGTTATAGGAGAATGAGAATGGTGGAGACATAAACCTTGTTACTGCTATTAACATATGGCATCAAGTATCATCTAGTATATCAAGTGACAAGGTAACAATCTAATTTAACTCTGTTTTGGAAATCTATGACTCTGAAACTTTTATGATAATTTCAAATTGTATAATTTTTGAACTTGTCTCTAATTTCAGGCAAGATGAAGTGTGTATTACAAAAGCAGCAATTTGAGAACTATGGAGAGCCATAGATGAAGATAAATTTGTATCTATCATATTGATTTTGTGACATTTATATTCTATGTAAAACAAATTCTTTTGGTTAATTGAATTTTTATACAGATTATCATTTGAAATTGTAATTGACTAGAGTATTATATATAAAATAATAGCATAAGTGATAATTGATAGCATAAAATAATTGAAAAATATTAGTTATTAATTTATTATATACGTCGGTTGTATAAGTGATTCAAAGAGGAAAAGAGATTTTAACTTTGTGAAAAATGTCGTTAAAATCCCCGACTTATTCAAAACGTTGATTTAAATCCTCAACTCATGACGAAACGAAATAAATATCAAACTTATGTTGACTTTCCAAATAAATATCAAACTTCTGTTGAATTTCCAAATAAATATCAAACTTCCGTTGACCTGGCCATATTAGGTACGACGTTAAGTGGGTTAATAGATCTTGTTAACGGAGTTAATTTTCTGTTAACATACATGTTAATTGATAACAATATCGTTTCATATAACAACAAAATGACGTCGTTTTGTTGTAACGATTGAATTAAATCCCTAAAGTCAATCTTAGATCCCCAAATTGAGCAAAATCCCTAACCCTAAATCTTCATATGATATGAAACTCGGGATTTTATTGAGCAGTTACGACAAAACAACGTCGTTTTATGTTTAGAAGGAAGACTGTCATTTTTAATTAGCGGGTCTGTTAACAGAAAATTAATCCTGTTAACATGGTCTGTTAACTCACTTAACGTCATGCCTAATATGGCCAAGTCAATGAAATTTTGGTGTTTATTTGAAAAGTCAACATAAGTTTAATATTTATTTGGAAAGTCAACATAATTTTGATATTTATTTCGTTTTGTCGTGAGTTGAGGATTTAAATCAACGTTTTGAATAAGTTGGGGATTTTAATGACATTTTTCCCTTTTAACTTTGAAGTCACAAAAACCGATGTTATAATTTATAAAACTGACGCAAAGATTCGAACGTTAAAATACATGTCGGTTGTGTAACTAATGTTAACATTTTTTTGGCGTCGAAGGTTATTAAGTCGGTTTAATAACCGTTGTCAATCGTAAGTGTCATAATAAACCGATGTAAAGTACCGTATCTCTTGTAGTGAAAGAAGCAGTTTAAAAGAAAAACTTTTGTACTTTGTATCTTTACCCGCTGCGTTTAAAGTTATAAACGTGTTGAGCCCTTAGTTTTTACAAGTGTTGGCGCTTAGTAATTGAACAAAACGTATGGACCCGGATTAAATTTCTGAGATGAAACAATGATGTCTTCCTTTTTGGCTAATAATTTAATCTAATATTAATATAATTTTTTTAAATAGACATTGATTTCCAAATAGTTGATAAAAACGGATACATGAGCTTCTTGAATCCGTTCAAACGAGAGCTTATTATTATTCATATATCTTCTAATACAATTAACACTATCTTTAGAGTCTCTCCCGATTGGAAAACTGCTGAAATGTTTTTTTAATGTAACAAAAAAAGTTTATTTAGCAAATAAACGTACGCATGTATAATGACGTACAGAAGCCTTTATCAGAAATTATATTTTGTTAGCACAAACGTTAACATTTCATGTCGTATGCATGATAATATCTTCTTGTAGTATGCGATATGCCCCAATGATTGACTAAAGAGACGTAGCACAATCTTTTCGATGATCTCATTTTTGGCCTTTGGATTCTCTGACTAGTGACTACCAAATATCAAATTGTTAAAACTTCTGCAGCACCTCTTTGAATCACTATTTTAATGTAGGGACAAACTGAACAAAACAAAAAAAAATATCAAAAAGGCCAAAATATGTTTTGTTAAATACATACTAAAATAATGGCAGCAAGAAACCTGATTGAACGGTGAACAAAAAGAAAAAGGTGGAGAAGTTTTGGTGGCAAGTGATCTGCGAAAATGGGTTTACGTGTTTGGATCAGTTTCCCACTTTGTCTACGTGCTCCACTACTCATCACGCGTCTTCGTGCCTCACGATGCCAATCTATAGTTTTGACGGCGAAAAATAATCTCTTATTAACTTTAAAATATCAATATGATCAATCACAAAAATGTTATGATCCATTGAGAATAAGTTCTGCATTTATTTTAGAGTTGTATTACAGAAATGCACAGTATTTACATGCATAGAGTTCGATCTAGCATAACAAAAAAGTAGCAACCAAGTGGTCGTGGTCTAGTGGCTTTCACTTGAAGAGGAGTCGCCCTGTTGGTCTAGGCCAGAGATCGATTCCTCTCAAGCGCGAAAGTGCTAGTCATTTCCATTTGGCCAGGGGCTTTCACCTGGTCTTCCCCGGACCCTGGGGGGATTAAGGGCTTCGGCGCCGAACCTCCTGGTTATCAAAAAAAAAAAAAAAAAAAGTAGCTAGTAGTAACCAGTTAACTATGGATCCTAAAATGGTCTAGTAATAACTATTAACCCATCACTGATTTAATTCAGTGTATAGAGTTTACTTGGTACTTTTTACAAAATATACATATATATATATATATGTTTTAAAAAGCTTAGTTATTGGTGACATATAATGTGTAATTAACAATTTGATTGTTCCAACTTCCAAGGTTATAAATTATAAATTTATAAGTAAAATATGTATTTTTTCTGAGTAAAATTTGTATATATAGATAATAATTTCTATTAAAGTGATTCAAAGTAAAACTCCCTCTGGTTCAATTTATTTGTAGTTAGGGAATTTTTTTTTTGTAAAATAAGTAATGTTCTTATTATCCTATGCAAAGAAATATTACTTTTTTATATATTATTTGTATTCTACAGAGTATTTTCTTATTTGTTGAATATGTTATTTATTGGGAGACTCACAAAAATGCCCCTTTTTCAATACCTATTTTCAAAAATGCCCCATTTGGCTGTCCATTTTTAAAAATACCTCTTTATATGTACAAAATGACTAAATTACCCTTCTTTTAATAAAAGATATCACAAATATATAAGGAAATATAACAAAATTAGGTCCACAAAAATATTTTTTTGGCGGGAAAAGTGATCCCGCAATTTTTCCCGCCAAAACACTTGTAAAAACTTGTAAAACCATTAAAATACCTTGTAAAATTTTCCAGTAAAATTTTTTCCCGCCAAAAAATTTTCAATCCAAAAAAATTTTTTTGCGGGAAAAGTGATTCCGCAATATTATTGGCGGGAAAATTTTTGGCGAGAAAAATTTACAATGTATTTTAAAGGTTTTTTACAGGGTATTCATAAGGTTTTAAAATGTATTTTAAAAAGTTTTACAACGTATTTATAAGGTATTTATAAGATATTATAAGATTTTACAAACTATTTTATAAGGTTTTACAAGTTATAAATACCTTATAAAACCTTATAAGTACCTTGTAAAACCTTTTAAAATACATTGTAAAACCTTACAAAACACTTGTAAATACTCCGTAAAACCTTTAAAATACCTAGTAAATTTTTCCCGTCAAAAATTTTTCGCCAAAAAAATTGCGGAATCACTTTTCCCGCAAAAAAATTTTTTTGGCGGGAAAAATTTTTACGGAAAAATTTTACAAGGTATTTTAAAGGTTTTTACAAGTGTTTTGGCGGGAAAATTGCGGGATCACTTTTCCCGCCAAAAAATATTTTGTATTTTGTGGACCTAATTTTGATTCAAATAAGGGTAAAATGGTCATTAAAAATTAAAAGAGGGCAAACTTAAAAATGGACTCTCAAAAGGGGCATTTTTGAAAAAGAGTACTGAAAAATGGGCATTTTTAACAATTTCTCTTATTTTAAATATAAAAAGAAAAAATATAGAAAAAACTAAAGTATGATATAAGATGACACGTTTAATTTATTTAAAATACTAGTTTACAGCCCGCGCTATGCGCGGACAAATCTATATCTACAAAATAAATGCATAATATAAGAAATAGAATAAGTTAATGAGTTTTATTTGGTCAGACAATTACAGAGTTTTCGATAATATGGTGGCATGTACATTATGTGTATACAATCTCAACAAAATAATATATTAGTTACAACAATAATAAGTGACAAATGAAACGTAGGTAAGAAGAAGAACAATGAACAAAAAAATTGTACCATTAATAGCAAAATAGGTGAAGTAAACAAAGGCTATCAATCTAAACTAAATTCATGTAGTTGGATTAACCAGAATGTAAAACTTCTAAGAAATCACAGAATATCAAAAACATGTAGTTAGCCTAAAATCTCAAATTGATATGACATTTTCGTGATCCAAAATAAAAAACTGAGATTAAAGTTTTTAGTTAAATGTTTAAATACATAGATGTACCTTAATTGTAATATATTCTGAGAATTTCTCCATCTTCTTCTTTTCATTGATCAATCGTTTCATGGAGAAGAAAGTGGAAGTCAGTTGAAAAAAATTGTGAAAGTTTGTTATTATTTTCTTACAAATTTGTGGAATGTATTAATCGAAATTTGAAATGATTGTGGAGTTGAGGATAAAAGAAAACTGTTTTGCCCAAATAAATTATAAAATAAAATATATTATATTAATTTTATTGTTTTGACATGTCAGATTTTGTGCACGTATTAATCAGAAAATGATCTCTTTTTATTTTTGTGAAATACTTATTTTTGTTATAAAAGAAAGTAAAAGATAAGAAATTGAGACTTATGACACGTGTCAGATGGAGAGATAATCAGTTATTGTAAAAGTGAATGTTGGTTTAGTAGATATAGATTGTGATCACTTGAAGATGTATCTTAAAATGTGTTGACAAAAAAGAAAATGGTCTAACGAATGGTACAAAATTTTAAAGATTAATCGAAAACCACTAACCACTGAAATCAGTACAGTAATATTTAAGGAAACTAATTACTTTGTATTTGATAGAATATAAAACGAAAGAAAAAAGGAAAGTTATAAAATTAAGTGATTTATAAAGTTCGTAAGCTATGTCACTTGAGTGTGTAGTCTGTAGTGAATAAAATACTTTGGTCTTAAAGTATTCATTTTGTAGTAGCAACTATAAACTGATTACTGTCACTGATTAGTATGGCAATAGAAAAAATTAAACCAAAACTGCATGTAAAAATAAAGACAAGTGTCCTAAAGGCAACACAATCTTCATGCTTTTCAGTTTTCACACACTTCTACTAGCTTACAAGTCACCTCCATCGAATATTCCGCCCATCAACATAATAAATGTTGAAATTTCATACTACTATTAAAACACACAAAAATGGCGGCGTAAGCAGGAACAATATTAACCAAAATCTCATTCTCATTATTTCCATCTTGAAAATTTTTCGTGAAGCTTTTTAAGACCAAAATTGTTCTTTCCTTCTTTGCATTTTCAATATCTATCATTTAATGCCAACAATTTTCTCCTAATGAAATGAAATCTTTATTATTCGTTTTTGAGTTATATAATTTGTTTTAGCTCATAATAAAACACATTGTTCGATGCCTCCACTTCTCCGGTTTAGAAAACTATCGTCCTTCTCTGAAGAGACCATTAGCCCTAAAGCCAAACAATCGGCCACCGTCGAGAAACCAAAACGTCGTCGTTCCGGGAGATGTAGCTGCGTTGACTCATGTTGCTGGTTGATTGGTTATCTCTGTACGGCTTGGTGGCTTCTTTTATTCCTCTATCACTCTGTTCCGGTCCCGGCGATGCTTCAAGCTCCGGAGTCTCCGGGAACTCGGTTGAGTCGAGACGGTGTCAAGGCGCTGCATCCGGTTATTCTTGTTCCGGGGATTGTAACCGGTGGGCTCGAGCTTTGGGAAGGTCGGCCTTGCGCTGAAGGACTCTTTCGTAAACGTCTTTGGGGTGCTAGCTTCACCGAGATTCTTAGAAGGTAACAAATTGGACCGTTATGTATCTCCGGTTCGAGAAATTTGAGACCCGGTTAGGTATTGGTTTGGTTCGTCCGGTTAGGGTGTAACATAATCTCGGTTAAGTTTATTCTTCTTGAATTGGCTTTACGTAGTGTCATGGACTCATGGTCAATGAACTCATGGTCTTTGGATTCTCATTTGGTTATGTTTGAGATGGTTCGTTGGGTTTTCTTATTGTTCCGCAACTAGTTTTGTCAGATTTTGAATATTCAATTCTGAGTTTGATGAATGATTTAAGGAAATTAATAATTATTCGTAATTTTTAGGATATCCTTTTGAATGTCATTGGAAATGGAAACCGTAAGATTTGATTTCTTTATAGTAAGTCGAAAATCGTCCTACAATACTATAGAATATATTATGTCCCAAACATGCAATTACGATAGCTAGATTTCATTGCATTTTAGAACTTACTATATTTAGAATGTCTGTTTTTAACATATTTTTTTAGTATTTTAAAATTTCAGATAGTTATAGTTATGGTTATAGATGGATTGTAAAAGAAAAAAGAAAGAAAGAATCAAAGAAAGAAGAAGATGGATTGTTACGGTTTATTTTGATTTAAATGAGTTTTCTGGTTACCATTTAGATTTTCTCAACTCTGAATAAATCCAGTTTGAAGTGTATACTTGCTCGATTAATTGTTGCAATTTGATTTATAGGCCATTGTGCTGGTTGGAGCACTTATCTCTGGACAGTGAGACTGGTCTCGACCCACCGGGAATCCGAGTCCGAGCAGTCCCAGGACTGGTGGCTGCAGACCATTTCGCACCGTGCTACTTTGCTTGGGCAGTTCTCATAGAGAATTTGGCGAAAATTGGATATGAAGGCAAGAACCTTCATATGGCCTCTTATGATTGGAGACTCTCTTTCCATAACACCGAGGTATGCTCAGATTAACGGAGTTGGTATTGATTCCTATATGATCATTTTGACAACACTGGTCTAGAGAACTATGATAATGATATATAAGACATTGATGATTACTCTTAGCTGCATTAGTATATGTAGTTACAGATTGTTGTATAGATTGGCTTGTGTTTGGACTTTGGACTAATCTATACTTTTTGGATTGGACCTGAGCAGGTACGTGACCAATCGTTAAGTAGACTGAAGAGTAAAATCGAGCTAATGTATGCCACCAATGGGTATAAGAAAGTGGTGGTGGTGCCTCATTCAATGGGGGCTATCTATTTCCTTCACTTCCTTAAGTGGGTGGAAACACCTCTTCATGATGGAGGAGGTGGTGGTGGTCCAGGTTGGTGCGCCAAACACATCAAAGCCGTCGTCAACATTGGACCCGCCTTTTTAGGTGTCCCTAAAGCCGTCAGTAATTTGCTTTCAGCTGAGGGCAAAGACATCGCTTACGCCAGGTTAGGTCCATCAACATTTCGAAGTTACTTCCACTTGTTATATATTAGTATTCATAAGAATTGTAAACCATCGATTTCTTTTAACATTTTTAGGCTGTCTACTGATTACTTGAATTGGCTTAATGGATTTTGACTGGTCATTTTTTTGTGGTTCAGATCGTTAGCACCCGGTCTCCTGGACTCGGAACTTCTCAAGCTGCAAACACTCGAACATCTTATGCGGATGTCACATAGCTGGGATTCAATAGTTTCTTTATTACCAAAGGGGGGTGAGGCAATCTGGGGAGATCTTGACTCGCACGCTGAAGAAGGCCACAATTGTATTTACTCCAAGAGAAAATCATCGCAGCTATTGCTAAGTAATCTCCATAGACAAAACTACAGCGTTAAACCGGAGTCTTGGGTGAAAGAACCCGCAAAATACGGAAGAATTATAGCTTTCGGAAAACGAGCATCTGAACTGCCTTCCTCACAACTCTCTACGCTAAACATCAAGGTTATATTAAAAACATTGCCATGGTTCTGCCTTTTCCGGGTCAGTAGAATCTAACTCCCCTTTGCTCTTTTTATTGTTTATGGTTAACAGGAACTGTCAAGAGTAGACTGCACTTCAAACGACAGTACATCATGTGGAGAATTTTGGTCGGAGTACAATGAAATGAGCCGAGAAAGCATAGTAAAAGTAGCAGAAAACACAGCTTACACGGCCACCACTGTTCTTGATCTTCTCCGATTTATAGCCCCTAAGATGATGAGACGAGCTGAAGCTCATTTCTCTCACGGCATTGCTGATGATCTCGATGACCCTAAGTATGGACATTATAAGTACTGGTCTAATCCACTCGAGACAAAGTAAGTCCAAAACATAGTCCCATTTCCTTTATGTTTACAGCTAGTAGGGATGCTATAATGGCCAAATGGCTTTGCCTCACCCACTTTAAGTCTTTTATTTTAAAATATTTTATCCCGGCCTGTTTTGTGCTGGAGGTTAAACATCAAACAAAGGATAGATATTGGCGTCTTGGCGTGCAAGAAGGGGTAGGTCAGTCCCAATTGTCCTATGTCGGTCTTAGCAACATACTCGGTGGTTGGGATTAACACTGATATTTATGAGACGTGGGTCAGCCTGTTCATGGCTCGTCTGTGGACATCTTTTTCCTGTGACAACATCCCTAATAGCTAGTAAAAGTAAGTACTCAGAGAATAAATCTACAATAGCTGGAATTCTGATACCTTGTTCTTTTCCCTAACAGATTACCGTATGCACCAGAGATGGAAATGTACTGTCTTTATGGAGTAGGGATTCCGACAGAAAGATCTTACATATACAAGCTCGCAACCTCTTCCAATAAATGCAAGAGCAGCATTCCCTTCACGATAGATGGATCTGTGAATGGAGATGACGTTTGTCTTAAAGGAGGAACTCGGTTTGCGGATGGAGACGAGAGTGTACCGGTCATAAGTGCTGGATATATGTGCGCAAAGGGGTGGAGAGGAAAAACACGGTTTAACCCGTCGGGGATGGAGACATTCGTGCGGGAATACAAACATAAGCCGCCGGGAAGTCTACTGGAAAGTCGAGGAACGGAAAGCGGAGCTCATGTAGACATAATGGGTAATGTTGGACTCATTGATGATGTTTTGAGGATAGCTGCCGGAGCTTCAGGCCAGGAGATTGGTGGCGATAGAATTTACTCGGATGTGATGAGGATGTCGGAGAGGATTAGCATCAAGTTGTGAAATAATCAGGAAATTAGCCAATTTTGTGTTGTCTTGTATTAAATAATCAATATAAAGAGTCGTTGAAGATTAATTTGGTTAAGTTTTTTTAGTAGATCCCTTAAATAAAAACATACATCACTGTAATGATCTTGAAACAAATCAAATTCTTCGAAGCACGATAAGATATTGCATCCCTGGTTTGGCATTGGCAAGTTGAGGAATCATTTCTTGTGTATGTCCAGTGCAGTGTATGTCCTTGTTCCATACATGAGAATCACGGTCTTTAATTTCTTTGGAAATCTTGGATACGAAATGGAGTGAATAAGAAGAAACTCCGACATGAAGACTTCTCCTAGGAAGAACACGGCCAAAGAAAGAACCCGGAACTCCAGTTACAAAATATTTTCTAGCCGGAGGAAGTGTCTCGAAGAGAGTGTTGAAATCGTTGTTTGAAGAATCGTTGAAGAAAACTTGGAATTCTGTTTCATGGAGATAATACTTGTGTTCCACGGCATCTATTATGGTTTGTACCGCTCTGAAAGTGTTAGGTCCAGTGGAACAACCAAAATCTGCTATGTTAACAAGATTTGAAGTGAAGACGATGTCGAGTTTCATAGAGATGGCTTCGTTGATCTTCTCCTTTGCTGCTTCAAGCAATCCTCCCTATGAACCATCAATATTTTGCAATCAATATCTTCAAACTGAAAAGGGTAATGTTGATAATAAAAAGTTGAAACTATATTTCTACCCATTCAAACTTTGCTGCTTCAAACTATATTTTGAATGCTTTTGGTAACTCTCGGGACCTTCACCGCCGATCATCGTGAATGAAGTCGACATGACTATTGTTTTGTGATAATTTTTTCGTGTCTTTTTGTTGTTGCTGTTGTGATGATTATATAAGGTAGAAGTGCAAGACTTTGTATTTATGTATGAATTGGTCTTCCTTTAGGGTTTGTTGAATAGAATTTTATTATATGGTTACAAGTTACAATATTAAAACACCGTGTTTGTTACTCCAGTTAAAATATTTTGTGTAAGCAGCCTCTCACTATGGACTTTTCTTCCAACTTTTTTTTCAAAGGTTAACGAACTAACCACAAATTTAATATATCGTAGGAGTTAATGAATAATATTAGGAAGAACTAATCAAGCTATGTGATTGGTACAAGGAATAATTAATAACGAAATATACGTTAAACTAAAGCCAGTCAACACGATTTTTAGTGTCTAGAATTGTGTGATTAAGAAAAAAGGAGTAACATTGAGAAGACTAATGTTATGGGTCTGATTTGTTGTTCTAATGAAGTAGAGAATGTTAATTAGTAAACTGTGTGGATTCTTCATTGAACCCATAATTTGTGTCTCCATGTATTCTCACCACTTCCAATCTCAATTGGTTCGAAGCAACAAAATTCTGAATTTTACCGTCAAACAGCGAAATGAAACACAAAAGTCTGAATCTTTGATTCCCCAAAGAAAGCCAAACCTCAAACAACAAACCGGAACAAATAATTTTCGGGCAGTTTTCTCATTTTTACGTGCGTGGATCCCGTCCATATTGACGTCCTTCTCTTGTTGCCACCTTCGGTTCAGAGCCATCAATAGCGATATTCCCTACACCAGCCTCCATTGCCTCTCTTTCGTCCTTTTCCTTTTCTATGTTCTCATTTGCTGGTCCTTCTCCTTTCGGTTGTTGCGGTTTCAATGATGGTTCCAGTAATCTTGGGCCTGTATTGAACCATGGGTGTGTTAGGCATTGAGCGGCTGTTGGTCTCTTCTCAGGAACAAATTCAAGAATTGGGACTAAGAAATCTGCCATGTCTTTTGCGTCCTGCTCGCTGAAATCATATTTCTCCTTCAAGACTTTGCTGATGGGCCAAAACCGCAACCGCCGGATGTGCCTTAGTTCACCTTGTCGGTTGAAAAAATCCCGAGAGTATCGACCGCCTAATGCAATCTACAGTTGAAAACAAACATAGCTCATCAAAACGAAATTAGGTGCTACTGTTTATCTGAGTTTTAACCATCAAAATTTGCAGTCGAATGTAGCCGAAAAAAACTAATATCCAACTTTAGAAAGGATTCGATACGGGATAAATATGCACATGCAATATTCTTATATGGTCACAACACAACGACTATGTTTACCAGCTTTACCTTTCGTGGCATCATCCCGAGAAGCTCCATCATCAATGCCAGGTGATCCTGAAACAAAGGCAACCAGTTTAAGACTGTGCATAAGAATGATACAACTTAGCTCTGCATACAAAACAGGCATAGAAAGTGAATATATATGAAGATACCTCATCCCGGTCATAGTTTTCACCACTGTGCGGATCAAATAGGACATCTCCGGTGGCCAGCTCGAAGCAGATACAAGCAAAGGACCACATATCTGCAGAGGTTGAGTATTTTGATCCAAGAACAACCTCTGGACATCGGTACTGTCTTGTCTGAATATCGCTTGTGAACTGTTTATACGTCCAACAAGCATTCCCAAAATCTACTAATTTGCATTTGCACTCTATGTCACTCAGTAATTTCTGCCTTGTGGTTCGGCTTCCTCTCCTACTACCCCGACCATTCTTTTTGTTAGCCTTCTCTCTGGCTTCTTCATCTTCCATTAATCTTGTGGAACTTCCTTCCGATCTCTCTACAGTGGAATTGCCATTTGTTCTTGCTTCAGAGTTAGAATCTCTTTCATTTTCTTCTAAAGCTTCCTCTCCACCACAATCTTGAGCCACCACCACCTTCTTCGCTTTCTTACGAATCTTCTTTTTCTGATTCTTTGTCAAATCCCCATCATACGTATAACTCTTAGTTTCAGGTTTAGCAGCAGCCTCAGAAACAATTTTGTCCTTGGCGGTTGGCAGAACAAGTGGAACACCCGACCTCCGAGCATCTCTTGATGGATCAATCGTAGACAAAAGCAGAACATTCTCCGGCTTTAAATCAGTATGAATAATAGAGAGCTCACGATGAAGATAATCCAACCCAACCAAAATATGAAAACAGAGATCTTTAACCATTTGAAGAGGAACCCCTCGGTAATCACTGTACTTAATAACTGACAAAAGGTTATCTCCCAAATACTCAAAGACCATACAAACATGTTTCCCATTAGGACCCGAATGCTTGAAATGATCCAGTAGCTTTACAACACATTTCTTATCACCCGGGTCACCTTCAGCAATCTGTTTCAGAATCTTTATCTCATCCATTGCTGCCTCTGTATAGTGTTGAGCGCTCTTCTGAACTTTCAAAGCTACATAACGCTACACACAAATGAACTTTCAAACCTCACACATGAAACTAATATCCCAAATGATCTATGAATAACCAACCCATCCCAGGAAATCTAACACTAAAGATTCAACTTTCAGCATTTTCCTACGACAACTCGAACAAGCATTACAGTCAATAGAGTCATATACACTGAGAAACCTCATAAAGAAATCATTTTTATGCTCTAAACTGGTTCTCTAGCCTTAAAAACAACTCATCCCGAGTAATCTAAGACTAAAGATTCAACTTTCAGCATTTTCCTACGACAACTCGAACAACTTGCTCAACCACATTACAGCCAAAGAGTTTATATACTGAGAAACCTAATAAAGAAATCACTTGTATGCTCTAAATTGGTTCTCTCGCCCTAAAAACAATTTATTCCGAGTAATCTAAGACTAAAGATTCAACTTTCAGCATTTTCCTACACCAACTCGAACAACTTGCTCAACCAAATTACAGTCAAGGAGTCATATACACTGAGAAACCTAACAAAGAAATCATTTTTATGCTCCAAATTGATTCTCCAGCCCTAAAAACAACTCATCCCGGGTAATCTGAGACTAAAGATTCAACTTTCAGCATTTTCCTACGACAACTCGAACAACATGCTCAACCACAATACAGTCAAAGAGTCATATACACTGAGAAACCTAACAAAGAAATCATTTTTATGGCCTAAATTGGTTCTCTAGCCCTAAAAAACGAAGAGGGTATAAGTCACATACCGATTCTTGAGTGTCCCAAGCAAGCCAAACAGTGGAGAAATGTCCCCAACCAAGCTTACTCTGAATCACATAAGCTCCATTTTTAAAAGTATCACCAACTCTCACGGCATGGTATCCTCCTTTCTTATAATCCTCTGTACCTTCGTCCTCCGATGAGTATTCAGTTTCGTCGTTCACACGTCCGCCGTTTTTTTCCTCCGCCATAGCCCTAACTTAATGGTTTCAGAGAGAGCAAATCTGAATCTCAATTTCAACAAAACCCTAGAAAATTCGTGTATAACGAATTGGAAAATTGGGTGATGATACAAAAAAGAATCTGATGAAATCAATTTCGCTAAATCAAGAAAATAAATTACAATGGAGCAATAAGACAATTTGGTGAATCGATCGAAAATTGGACGAAGGTGATGATTGGAATAGTCCAGAGAGAGGTCGTTGGTGTTGTCTCTCGTTGGTTTGGTAGTTAGGAATTTGGTTTGCAAATTAGGGTTTTTCTTTCTTCGTTTAGTCTCAACTCTCAAGAGAGAAACTGTTTTGGTTGGACCGGTTTAACCGTTAAAGTAGCATATGACTTGGTTTAGTCCACACTCCACACTATGTTAGACCATCTCGAACGGGAGATCTAAATAGGGTGTCTAAACCCAAAAGATCTCAAAATTAAATCAAAAACTGAATAAACACATTAGACTCGTTTCTATAATTAAATTAATTTGATTTTTAGAACTCTTTTAGATATGCATACGTGTCAATTCTTGGTTGATGGGAGTATGTGTATTAGACGGAAATTTTTTTTGGCTCGTGTTTTCTCTCTCTTTATACTTTCTTTCGCGACTCTCTCTCTCTCTTGCTCATCTATCGCCGATGGCGAAATCGGAAAAAACATGTCTGAATCCATTGATTTGAGAGCCGAAATGAGTCTCAAATGGTGTTGTCTAAGTGTATGTTCTACCGTTGTCATCATCTCCACCGACTCCGGTTAAAATCAGAGAGTTTGGTTTCTACCGTTGGAGAGTGGTTCACTAAATCGGGAGATTTGTGTTCAAGGAAGCTCCAATATCTTTCAAATGGAATGAATCTATCTGTTTTGATGTGTAGTTCGTCATAAAATCTTGTATTTTTAGAAAATCAAAATTGTAAGGGTTCTTTGAGTTTAGAAAAATTAGGGTTTTTTATTTATTTTTATTTTAGCGAGATTAGGTTATTTTGAAAGATTAAGCCGCCTCTGTTGGTAGTTCTTAGCCATGATTGAAGACGAATTTAGGCATTGTTGCTTGAATTCGATAAGTAATTGCTTTCGTCCGCATGATTAGTTGGTATATTTGAAGCAAATGTATAATTAAAACATATAATTTGAAGTTTCTTTTAATTTCGGTATATTTGAATCTAGACTTCTTATTTTGGAGATTACCAGTTAATGCATATGAGAGAGGAAAATCTCATTGTTTCCCATGGATTTTATGGTTCTTATGGAAGATAGAAACAAAAAATAGTCTTTAAAAGTCTGCATTATGAACCTTTAAAAATAATAAATCACGTTACGGAAAATATATATAATAAATCATGCCTTAAATGAACAATTATTGTGGAAAGAAGCTCAATTGAATCTGGAGAAACAATTCAAATTAGAAAAACAATGACTAATTCTTCTCACACACTAAGATGTCGGATCGACGGCTCCTGAAAACAATCAGATCCAATAATAAGTTTAGGATGGTGGTGCTTTCGGGGAGACCATCAAACAATACTACTTGGAGCAAAATATCAACGGACGAGTGCCTCTCCTCTTCACGCGGAAATATATGCTCTTTTATTGGCAATGAAAAGTGTTCTCTTAGAAAGGATTGATTAGCAGGTGTTTGAAACAGACAGTATACAGCTAGTGTCAATGATATATGCGCTTGATGAGTAGCATGTTTTCTCCAATCTACTAGATGAGCTTGGTTAGCTTCGTGAATTTTTTTTCCTTTTTCTCGCTTTAATATTCCTCGCTCTTATAATTCTCAGGCCGATTACTTAACTCGTCACTCGAGAAGTTTATTTTTTGAGATTTCATTTGTAAACTCGTTTCCTCGAGATTGCCTACCAATCATGAAGTGATTTTTAAATTAATGTGTGGTTGACAAAAAAAAATAGAAACATAAACACAAATAACAAGATAATGCTTAGTCGAAGGCCTTAAGTCATAGAGATGGTGGTTTTGTATGTTTGATAGGCTTCTATAGAAGATCGTAGACGTTTTGTTCTTCCTAGAAAAATCTTGAATATCTTATGTTTTGTTGGTCTTTCTTTATATTAAAACTCAAAAGCTATATCCAACGAACATCTTTTACTTCATCTACTATAATTTAAATTCTGCAAGAAAAAAAGATAAAAGATTTAAATCTTATCATTTATAAGAACTTATTCCAATGCTATAAAATAAACCAACATTTGAGAATATGTTTAACGTAAATATGTATAATTGCATATGTATAGACTCCGTAGGATAAATTAATGAACGAAGAAATTAGTCCATATGAAAAGTGAAAAGTATAGAGAAAAGCAAGCATGATTTGAAAATATAAAGAAAGTGAAAAACACAAATATAAAGAAAAAAAATTATCTAGAAAGAATGAGAGCAAGAGAGAAAACGAGAACAAGATAAGTTGATCTTTAGAAAACAGAGATGATTTTTCTATTTGATTTTAAATTAGAGTAAACAGTTGTAGAATAAGGTGTTATAGAAGGTGAGGGAAAACAGCATTTTTCAACTCAAACTCCGACCTCCTGTCTTTCACAACACAAACCAAAACAAAATTCAAATTGCAAAACAGACTTTTATGAAATTTAGCCGATTTAAACATATTTCTAAACTGTTTAAGCTTTCAAATTCTATAACTGTTTTTGGAGAAGGAGTGAAGGCTCACTTGATCGAGTCTTATATAATCCTCTTTTGGAGGCTGCTCAACCCTCACGAGTCACGACGAGAACCTCATTCTTGTCACCTCCTCTTTTATCTGCCTTGAATCTCTCTCCCTTTCGTCCTCCGCGGATCCAGCTAGCTTCTTCTTTATTTTCTCCTCTTCTTTCTCTTCTTCTCTTCTAATGATTTTTCTCTCTTTTTCTCTGATCTAGGGGGCTCAGAATTGAGGACATAAAAACCTAGATCCCTTATAATATGTATATATATGTCTCCAATTTTCTCATTAAACTAGGTTTAGCATTCTTGTATATTGAAAGGAAGTTCTTCGTGTTTTTGGTTTAAGCATATATGGTTTTCTGTATGTCTACTCTCTACCAAATTAATTTGTTGATTAGTTATACATTGTGTTCCATGTTTTATGAGTTATGGTTAGTTTATAAGAGCTGAATAGCAAGTCCTTGATGATTTATGTTTATATATAAAACTTGCGGTCTGTTGATTGCGAAAACTACCAATCTCTTTTTTTATGTTTCCAATCGCTAAATTCTCGTTTGTACCTATACAAAATAGGTAATTTTAGAGGTTGATCTTATAGAACTTTTTGGAAGAGATAGATAGATAGACCATACTGAATTACAACTTTGACGATAGAATCAAATAATTGTATAATTTGGTTATATACCATGCTCAACACCATAAAAACCAATACATTATAATCAGTTAATCACACTTTTTATGAACGAAGATCCAGTTTGAAGGAACAAATTACTAGTTTTGTTCTTGTCCGGATATTTTGGCATGTCTTAAACTATATTATATAATAGTATTAGTTTTCTTTTATTGGCACGTTTTCTTGATAAAAAGGTTGGAAGAAAAAGTCAACACCAATCGGCTGCCTCAACAAATGTTTAAATATTATTTATATGATTAGTAAAACGTGACCAATAAGTTTATTGATTAGTCTATTTGGCTATACCCCAAAGCCAGGCTGACCGATGGATACAATAAATAGGCACATACTACATAGTCTTGCAATCAAAACAACAACAACCAAACAAATTAAAAAAGGAATTATCACAAGACAAGAGATACAAGAGAAACATGTCGACTTCTTTCACAATGATCGGCGGTGAAGGTCGCAACAGTTACCAAGAACATTCGAAATACCAGGTTAACTATTACTATATGATATTGTTTCTACTAATTATCATCAAATAAAATAATGTTATAATTTTTATTTGTGTTAAAAATCACTTATGGTTCACAGGGAGCACTGGTTATAGCTGCAAAGGAAAAGGTCAATGAAGCCATTTCCATGAAACTCGATATCGACTTTACTTCAAATCTTGTTAACATAGCAGATTTTGGTTGTTCCTCTGGACCAAACACTTTCACAGCGGTACAAAACATAATTGATGCTGTGGAAAACAAGTATAAGAAAGAAAGTACTATCGATGGAATCGAGTTCCAAGTTTTCTTCAATGATTCTTCGAACAACGATTTCAACACTCTCTTCAAGACACTTCCTCCGGCTAGAAGATATTTCGCAACTGGAGTTCCAGCTTCTTTCTTTGGTCGTGTCCTTCCTAGAAATAGTCTTCATGTGGGAGTTTCTTCTTATTCACTCCACTTCGTTTCCAAGATTCCTAAGGAAATCAAAGACCGCGATTCGCCTGTTTGGAACCAGGACATACATTGCTCCGGATCTTCAAAAGAAGTTACGAAATTGTTTCTCGATCAATACAAGATCGACTTGGGGAGTTTCTTGAACGCGAGAGCTCAAGAGCTCGTGTACGGTGGATTGCTATTGATTCTTGGATCATGTCGTCCAAATGGAGTTCAAATGTTTGAAACGGTCGAAGGCATGATGATTGATTTCATTGGAAGTTCTCTTAATGAAATTGCTAACCAGGTAAACTTCAAAACTCATATAAAACATTAGTTAACTTGTCTATAATATATATTAGTACTAATAATTATTGATGCTAACATGTTCTGTTTTTTTTTCTCTTAAAAGGGTCTAATAGATCAACAAAAGCTTGACACTTTTAAATTGCCTATCTATGCTCCACAAGCGGATGAATTGAAGCAAATCATCGAGGATAACGGGTGTTTCACGATTGAGGTATTCGAAAAAATTAGTCACTCAAAGGGGGAGTATCCTTTAGACCCCGAGTTTTTGACGGTCTCGTTTAAGGTAACGGTTGGAGGATCTGTAGCTTCAATATTTGGCCAAGATGCGATGGAGAAAACATATGAGCTTGTGAAAGAGAAGACGCAAGAAATGCTTCCTCAATTAGCCAAAGCCAAACCCGGAATGCAATACCTCATTGTGCTTCGAAGAAACTGATTTCCATGGTCAATGTAGATCTGTGAAATGAAATAAATCTGAGACTTTAATAATGTGATTACAATGATGTGTTCTTCTCATTTTTAATAGTCTCTATCGTTTTTGTGTATCACATGCTACACATATTACTTTCAAATGTCTTCTTGATTTTTTCTTCAACCACAAAACATTTTACTTACAATTACAAGAAGATCTCACTTCTTTTACCTTACATTAATATAATTATCAATTTTTTTTAATGACTAAATAATGAGAAATACCCATATCACATTAATGTTCAAATGCATAGCATTTTTGAAAATTACCCAATAACACAAATCCAAATACTGAAAACACATTTTTGATCATTTTGATTGCAAGCAAAGTGTATGTGCCAAAAAATTAAAAATCTATGTGCCATTATTAGAAAGTCTCACATTGCTTGGGATTAAGATCTTTGGATAGTATATAAAGGATGTGGCAATCTTTTAACTCTTGAGCTAGCTTTTAGGTTAAGTTAGGCCACATTCCTAATATGGTATCAGAGCTCAAGGTTGGCCCAACAAGAAATTCCCACACAAATGGTTTCTCACCTATGTGGCCCATATAAGTGGCATGTCTTGTTGTATTTCCGAGATGTTGGGCTTGGGCTGTTTCCCGTTGGACCGTTTCCCACCCACATCTCGAGAAGGCCTATTAGAAAGTCCCACATTGCTTGGGATTAAGATCTTTGGATAGTATATAAAGGATGTGGCAATCTTTAACTCTTAGCTAGCTTTTGGATTAAGTTAAGTCACATTCATATTTGCAATGTGCCAAAATCCTCCGCGTGTTAAATCCATTTGTTCACAGTTTCTCGTTAAAAGACAACAAATGGTATCAATGTCCACGGAAAAATTGCATACTTGCACGCAATCTCTTCTTCTTCTTCCTTCTTCTCGTAGCTTCAAATAGATTCATCAAAAAAAGAGTAAACAACATCAAAATCCACATAACCAAATCAGAAAATGTCAGTAGTTTTACTCTCTTCTACTTCTGCAACAATCACAAAATCCCAATCCAAAAAGATTCCCTTTTTATCTCCCACCACAAAATTCCCATTCAAAGTCTCAATTTCTCCATCAAGATCAAAACTTTTCAACAACCCTTTACGCGTGGCGGCGCCACCGTCAATACCCACTTCGGATCCGGCGGAGGAGAAGCGGATCGAAGAAGAGTTCGGCGGAGATACGGAAGAAGAAGAGTCTGAGTTTAAGTGGAGAGATCATTGGTATCCAGTTTCTTTGGTGGAGGATTTGGATCCGAATGTACCAACCCGGTTTCAGCTCTTGGGTCGAGACCTTGTCCTCTGGTTTGATCGGAATGATCAGAAATGGGCCGCCTTTGATGATCTTTGTCCTCACCGGCTCGCTCCTTTATCTGTAATCTCTCTCTTGGAATAAATAGTTTAATTAGTTATTGTGATTTGGATTAGAAGAATAAATTATTAGAGATGATTGTTTATTAGTGTAAAGTTTTGATTTTTATAAGTATATCAATTAGGTCACAGCTTCAATATGAATATAATATTAGGATCAGAATCAGGACAGTTTTGTGTTGTTTATTGTGATGTTATGTAACCAAAGTTTTGAGCTTTAATTTATGGATGTATGTGTTGATGCTTTGTGGTTATGTAGGAAGGAAGGTTGGATGAGAATGGACACTTGCAATGTTCGTATCATGGATGGTCCTTTAGTGGGTGTGGATCTTGCACTAGGATTCCACAAGCTGCTACTTCAGGTCCTGAAGCTCGTGCTGTTAAATCCCCGAGAGCTTGCGCTATTAAGTTTCCGACAATGGTGTCTCAAGGTCTTCTCTTTGTGTGGCCTGATGAAAATGGTTGGGATAGAGCCAATTCAATTGAACCTCCTAGGTAACGAGCGAAATGATTATCTTCTCTGGCTTTCATGAACATAGCAATGTTCGTTACATTAAATGCGGTGGTCTTAAACAATTTAGGTTGCCAGATGATTTTGATAGACCAGAATTTTCGACGGTGACAATTCAGAGGGATCTTTTCTATGGATATGATACTCTCATGGAAAATGTATCTGATCCTTCCCATATCGATTTTGCTCATCACAAGGTGTTTCTCTCTCAAAGCTCCCAATGTGTTTGCATTTTCGCTAAGGAAAATTATCCTTAGGTGATGAGTTCGTGTTGTTAACAGGTTACAGGAAGAAGAGACAGAGCCAAACCATTGCCGTTCAAGGTGGAGTCAAGTGGGCCTTGGGGTTTCCAAGGTGCGAATGATGACAATCCAAGGATAACCGCAAAATTTGTTGCTCCATGCTATTCTTTGAACAAGTGAGTCTTCAGTTTCCTCACAATAGATAATACATGGTTAGGACTTAGGATACAGCTTCATACTTAATGGGGTTTTGTATGGTTGTCTACAGAATTGAGATTGATGCAAAGCTACCAATCTTCGGTAATCAAAAATGGGTAATTTGGATTTGCTCATTTAACATACCAATGGCTCCAGGAAAGACCCGTTCCATTGTTTGCAGCGCCCGTAACTTCTTCCAATTCTCTGTACCAGGACCCGCTTGGTGGCAGGTAAATAAACTTTGATTGTGCCTCTTCATCTGATTTGCCAACATACGTCTTCTGATGCTTTCCCTCGTTAGGTTGTACCGAGATGGTATGAACACTGGACATCAAACTTGGTCTATGACGGAGACATGATCGTACTTCAAGGACAAGAGAAAGTATTCCTCTCTAAATCAATGGAGTCACCGGACTACGACGTGAACAAACAGTACACAAAGCTCACATTCACTCCAACCCAAGCAGACCGTTTCGTTCTAGCCTTCAGAAACTGGCTAAGACGGCATGGCAAGAGTCAGCCTGAATGGTTCGGCTCCACCACAGCTAACCAACCTCTCCCTTCCACTGTCTTAACCAAGCGTCAGGTGAGCCATCAATCATGCCTCCTAACATCATTTTGATCTTTATATATATACAAACACCCGTCTGACTATGTGAAAATTTGAACAGATGCTTGATAGATTTGAGCAGCATACACAAGTGTGTTCCTCCTGCAAAGGGGCTTACAACAGTTTCCAAATCCTCAAGAAGTTTCTTGTTGGCGCGACGGTTTTCTGTGCCGCCACAGCTGGTGTTCCTTCTGATGTCCAGATTCGACTAGTTCTGGCGGGTTTATCACTGATATCAGCTGCTTCTGCATATGCTTTACATGAACAAGAGAAGAACTTTGTGTTTAGAGATTATGTCCATTCTGAAATCGAATAGATGTATATGTATGTATATGTACAATCAAAATCCAGAGAAACTTCTAGCAATTTACATCTACACTTGTATAAGTAAGTAACCTTATCCCGTACCTACATTTCGAAAATGAACATGAAAACGGTCAAAATCAACCCGAACAAAATGCGATGCGTCTTTCATACCCAAATTAGAAAAAACTATCCAACATTTGCTTTTCATACCCAAATTAGAATAAATGATTCAACTGTTAAATGTTGGGTACTCAATTGAACTTTAAGAAACATTTAACAAGAAAACAGAAAAGTAGAATAATTACGGGGTCAAATTCGAAACATAAGAAAAACATTCGTCACTCTTGTTACGCCGATAAGAAGATAACAACACTAAAACTGTGCGCTCTTATCTCTGCTTTGAACTGAAATCAGCATTTGCAATGGCTTCTTCTACAGCTTTGTCTCTCTCATGGAGCTCCTCTCCTTGTTGGTCACACAGCTTCAATAGCGGTGCAAATGAAACCCTAAAAGTATCTGAGCGAAGGTTCAAATTTGAAGTTGTTTCCCAGAAGAAAGCTAAGAAACTTCGCAAGGTAAAGTCATTACCTTTCATGGGTTATCTTCAAGAATTGATTTGGGTTTTAGTTAGTTTTTGATTTGAGTTCGTGTTTTGGGAGAATTTTGGTGGAGATGAAAGCAAAAACTTGAAGATACTTAATTTTATGGGTTTAGTACAAAAAATGTCGTCTTTATTCTTGTATCTTGTATTTTAGTTCTTGATTCCTGGTTTTGGATAAAGAAATGGAGTAAATGAAATGCAAATGGTAATGTTGTTTTGTTTCTTTAAGGTAATCTTGAAAGAGGACGTGACGGATTTGGGTAAGCAAGGGCAATTACTTGATGTGAAAGCTGGATTTTTCAGAAACTTCCTTTTGCCTACGGGAAAGGCTCAGCTTATGACTCCACTTCTGCTTAAGTAAGTCACCTCAACTTCGGAAGTTCCGTTCGCTTACGTATGCTCTTACTATTTGGTTTATAAGGCCTTGTATTTCGAGAGACTTTGCTACAATGTTGTTGTAAGATCGGCCAGAGATGCATCATTATCTGTTTTTTGTGTTGTTTTTTTTCTTAACAGGGAATTGAAAATGGAAGATGAACGGATAGAGGCAGAGAAGCAAAGGGTAATCTGAGATAAATACATTGATTCTTTTATTTGCTCAATTTGTAAAGTTGGGTGTTTGCGTGATTTAAAAAAACTCTTTGGTTATTGAGTTTCACCTATTTGTTGTTTTTCTCTTTGCTTGGAACCTTTTTGCAGGTGAAAGAAGAGGCGCAACAACTGGCACTGGTATTTGAAACCGTTGGTGCTTTCAAGGTTAAACGCAAAGGCGGTAAAGGCAAACAGATATTTGGATCGTAAGTCCTGTTTAAGCAAATCTAGATTTAAGAGTATTGGGAATCATGTCTAGCCTGTACTTAACTTTAAATTTTCCTGCAGTGTCACAGCACAAGACCTCGTCGACATCATCAAAGCGCAGCTCCAAAGGTAACATAACACAGAACATTGTACAGTTCCACATAAAAAGCTACAAGCTTTCTCATGTGGTTTAGTTTTCTGCATTTGGTTTTCACTGTTGTTCGAAGAACCTAATATGGTTTTCTCTGTGGCTGGGGTTTGGCAGAGACATAGACAAACGCCTTGTCTCCCTCCCGGAAATCCGTGAAACCGGAGAATACATAGCCGAACTCAAGCTCCACCCCGATGTCACTGCTCGAGTTAGGATAAACGTTTTCGCCAACTAACCCTTCAACGATTCAAGACTCCTACTGCATCCCAAGGTATTTCTCGATTCTCCATATCATGTGTCTATTTTTTCTTAACTGAAATGAGACATTAGTCTTACCTTAATTCACATGGAAATAGGTAGTTAATCCCATATTCGGACTCTGAACATTGGTCGGGAATCTTGGCCGTCAAATGGCGTTTTGCATTTTAAGGTTTAGCCGCAAACGCAGATGCTAATTGACCATCGCATTGTGTTTGGTGTTTTGAGGTTGCAGGAACATACAGAGAGGGAAAAGAGAGTCGTCTCTTGAGGTTGCAGGATAGTATGTGAAGTTTTTTCTTGTAGATCTTTGATGCATTTGTATTTTTGCTTATTTTTGAATCTGGAAATGTTCAAAAAATATAATATTTTCTTCAAGTTATTATATTTTCTTTAAGTTATATTGTATTCATTTGTCTGTTGAAGTTATTCATTTGTCTGTTGAAGTGATGAGAATGCTTAAATTAACACTAACAAGCTGTTAAAAAAAAACTAACATACAACCAGAAATCTGTAAAACTATGTCGCCGTCTCTTGTTCCCTCAAGATTGACTATTTTTAGAGAGTTGTTGTTCTTTAATGACAAAACCCAGATGTTTTTTGTTTCACTGCTTCTCTCCAATTCAGTTACCAAAACTTGTTTTGTTTAAAACAGTTATAGCTCTTAATTCGATTTTTTATAATCATATAATTGTCTTGTTTCTATCATCTTTGTTCTTGTTAACAAGTTTTGTCCAATGGAGTTGGAAGGTGATAGGAACGTTTACCTGAGAGACACATGGAGAGAAGCAAACATGATCTGCGGTATCTTGCCTATTAACCCGAGCTCGAGCGGGCTATGGCCATCCCCGAAGATCCCAGATCATAGAGCGAACATCAAGTTCTATGATTACATGTTTCCACATGTTCAGATCATTTTCCTTATCGTCACCATTCTCTGGCAATTCTTCCATTTCTTTCTCAAACGTCTCGGCATGATTCGTTTCACCTCTCATATGCTTGTAAGGACTTGAATCTTCAAATCTTTCTTCTTCTTAGTTTGCATTGCATATGTTTGATATTTGATTGTTTCAAAAGTCATACCAAAGTTTGTATCTTTGTATGTGAGTTTTTTCAGGTTTTCTTCTTTTAACTCTGTGTGTTTTTGGCAGACTGGGATTCTCCTAAGCAAGTCGTTTCTGAAGGAGAATACACCCGCGAGGAAATTTTTCTCGACGGAAGACTACAAAGAGACTCTATTTGGTCTGGTGGGTGCGTGTTCCTACATGATGTTTTGGTTCTTGATGGGAGTTAAAATGGACTTGGGTCTGATCCGCAGCACTGGGAAAAAAGCCGTTGCTATCGGTCTTTCCTCAGTGTTACTCTCTATAACGGTTTGCGCCTTTATCTTCTTCTTGATCTTAAGAGATGTAGGGACGAAAAAGGGAGAACCAGTTTTGAATTTCTTTGAAATCATTTTCATCTATTTGATCCAATGCCTTTCGTCGTTTCCCGTAATTGGAAACCTTCTTTTTGAGCTTAAGCTCCAGAATTCAGAGCTTGGCCGTCTTGCTATGTCCTCTGCAGTGATCAGTGACTTCAGCACCTCGATTCTCTCTGCGGTTCTAGTCTTTATAAAGGAACTCAAGGATGAGAAAACTCGGCTAGGATCCGTTTTTATCGGCGATGTTATTGTTGGAAACCGTCCTATGAAGCGTGCGGGCACAGTGGTGTTCTTTGTTTGTTTCGCCATATACATATTCAGGCCATTAATGTTCTTCATTGTCAAGAGAACGCCTTCAGGTCGTCCCGTAAAGAAATTCTATGTATATGCAATCATCATTCTTGTCTTTGGATCTGCCATTCTTGCGGACTGGTGCAAGCAATCTATCTTCATGGGACCTTTCATCTTAGGTTTAGCTGTTCCGCACGGTCCACCTTTGGGCTCTGCAATCGTCCAGAAGTTCGAGTCTGCGGTTTTCGGCACATTCCTTCCCTTCTTTGTGGCTACCTCCGCGGAAGAGATTGATACTTCGATTTTACAGTCTTGGATAGATTTCAAGAGTATTTTCATCATTGTGTCAATATCGTTTGTTGTCAAATTCGCTCTCACGACTCTCCCAGCCTTTTTATACGGTATGCCAGCAAATGACTGCCTTGCTCTCTCTCTTATTATGTCATTCAAAGGCATTTTCGAGTTCGGCGCTTACGGTTATGCGTATCAAAGAGGGGTAAGTACATCTATAGACATATTTCCTTCAAAATGTATCTAACACATTTTGATACACTCTGCCACTGAGCTTAGTATTTATACGGCATGAGACCTTCATTTTCATTTTCATTGCAGACTATTCAGCCGGTGACCTTTACGGTTTTATCTCTGTACATCTTGTTTAACTCTGCAGTCATACCTCCGATCTTGAAACGCATTTACGATCCTTCGAGGATGTACGCAGGATACGAGAAGCGGAACATGCTTCACATGAAACCAAACTCCGAGCTCAGGATTCTATCGTGTATCTACAGAACAGACGATATCCGTCCCATGATTAATCTCCTTGAAGCTACTTGTCCCTCAAGAGAAAACCCGGTAGCTACTTATGTCCTTCACTTGATGGAGTTAGTAGGACAAGCCAGTCCAGTCCTCATCTCTCACCGATTACAAACCCGTAAAAGCGAGAACGCGTCTTATAATTCTGAAAACGTAGTTGTCTCATTCGAACAGTTCCACAAAGATTTTTTCGGCTCTGTTTTCGTCAGCACTTACACGGCTTTATCCGTCCCGAAGATGATGCACGGGGACATCTGTATGCTGGCTCTCAACAACACAACGTCTCTCATCATCCTTCCTTTTCACATAACTTGGTCCGCTGATGGATCAGCCATTGTTTCAGACAGCAAGATGATCCGGAAACTGAACAAGAGTGTCCTCGACCTCTCTCCTTGCTCTGTCGGAATCTTCGTCTACCGAAGCAATAATGGCCGGAGAACAATCAAAGAAACAGCTGCAAACTTCTCATCTTACCAAGTCTGTATGCTCTTCCTCGGAGGTAAAGACGATAGAGAAGCTTTATCACTCGCTAAGAGAATGGCCCGTGACTCAAGAATCAACATCACCGTGGTTTCACTCATCTCTTCCGAACAGAAAGCTAATCAAGCAACCGATTGGGATCGAATGCTCGACTTAGAACTACTCAGAGACGTTAAGAGCCACGTTCTTGCTGGTGCTGACATTTTCTTCTCCGAGGAAGTAGTGAATGACGCAAATCAAACATCACAATTGTTGAAATCAATTGCAAATGAATACGATCTGTTCATAGTCGGAAGAGAGAAAGGAAGGAAGAGTGTTTTCACGGAAGGGCTTGAAGAATGGAGTGAATTCGAGGAACTTGGCGTCATTGGAGATCTCTTGACTTCAGAGGATCTTAATTGTCAAGCTTCTGTGTTGGTAATACAGCAACAACAACAGATGATTTAGGGTTTTAAGAAATCAGGAGATGACGAATCGAACGAGTGTTTCTTGGGGACAGAAACATCGATTGATCAAGCTGGAAATGGCAACGAGACTCCATTAGGACTTGGGGAAGTTGCGTCGGTAGATATACAGAGTTGTGAAGCGCCTGTTGTTACCACTTCATGTTAGGAATTGATTAGAAATAAAGAATTTCTTGAGCTACAAGTAACGATTACAATGTATATATTTCAACCTTTTTCGGTCTGTGGATAATTTGAGAAGTTTCCTTCCGAATTTATGCTAAAAAAGGGTTACTAAGCTTTTTTGGGGGTCAGAGAACATGCAAAGTCAGTTTTGTTCTTAAAATACAAATTTCTATACATTTCAACTAAACAAACCTCTTTAAGTCTAAACTAACTGTATGTATATATATAACTCGTAGTAATTATAATAGAAAATTAAAAATATAGAATATTACGTTTTGTAATCTTTTTAAGATGTTAACGAATATACTTATCAATTTATCATGCATTATATTTCATATATCATTTCAAATTTTAGTTTTGTCTTATATATAAATCGAACACTTTTAAATTATTTTGATTTAGGCTTCGAAGGGTAAAAGTAGTTCAAGCGTTGCAAATCTTGCAGAAGATGCAGGACAAGTGCAAAACATGTAGGACAAGTGCAGATAATGCAGATCAAGCAGTTCAAATATGAGTTCGAGTGGTGAAATAAAATTAATTTAATAAACTTATAAAAGGCAATATAAATTTACTTTTTTAAGCCACCAAGCTGTATTTATTAGAATATTGCAAAGTAAAGATGTAATAACAAATTAGAAAGGTAAAAATATATATTTGGAAGAAATTATATTGATAGGTGAATCTATATATGATTAAAAAATGTTTATTTATATTGTTAGGCTAATATGTTCACTAATATTCTACTTCATGTAAACACAATCTTGATCTCCCTTATTGCAAGAAAAATAAGAAATATTCTATCAATACATTAACATCAAAGAAAATTATAACAAAAAAAACAATGTATACTTGTAGACAAAACTTTATGTGATCTTCAACGTCAATATTTCCACATGAACCAGCACACTGCCACATGAATATTTTATGAGAAATAGTATTTTTACCAATGTAATTATTAATACATAAAAATTCAAAATTAAAAGAAATTCTATGAATTTTTTAAAAATCTTAAAAATATACCAAAATGACATACATAAAACTGATTTACTAATTTTTTTAATCTCTATATTATAATACTTTGAAAAAAATAGACTAGTAATAGAAAGTAGACAATCATAACAATTTATGAGAAAGATAATTTTATACTATATCTAAATAAATAAATACCATAATATTTATTTATAATTTTCTGAAAAAGAAAAAAAAATATTTTCTAAAAAGAGAGAGCAACGTACAAGAGGGAGAAAGCAATTTTTTTTTTTTATGGTTTGTGGTGTGTGAAGTAAGTACAAAGGAGATGTGTTATTTTATAGAGGATAAGAAAGACTATTTAATTAAATTTTCGTTTTAAAAAAAAAAGAAAATTAAAACTGCCGTTGGACCACACCAATTATCTGGTGGGTGAGAACTGCATTGATTCTCCTACTTTTATCACTAAAAAACAAAAATTTATTACTCTGCATGCAGTCAACTCTGCTTTTTATCTTTTTTCTGAATGGCTCATTAAAAGCAGGAGAAACACATTCATTGGTCATCTGCACTTTATCTGCTACGCCATTCAGTGCCTTATTATATGACTATGTTGTTTATGTGTAATGGATTTTGTACTCCTAAAAACTTAAGAATGATAATTTATGAACAATCTTCTAATAAATATATTATACATAACAAACGGAACATTGGTTTACAAAAAAAAAAAGAAACAAACGGAACATTTTCACGTTTGTTGCTGTTGTTGGACTACCAAAACATTAACCCTAGAGTCGAGATCTCTAGCAGCTAGCAAATCTCCGATAACACCTAGCTCGGGTAGTTCTATCCACTCCTTGAGTCCATCAAAGTCTGGTGATGCCATTCCATGATCTCTCCCAACCACCATAAGATCATAATCCTCAGAAAGAGATCGAACGGTAGTGGCTACTTCAGGACCTCCAGCCACAATCCTCTCTGTATATGCAATACAATTTGTGGCATCGGTATCTTTAAGATCCTCTAATACCTCGTGATCAAGAATGTAATCCCAATTAGTCGATTCTATTTCTCTGCTAGAGATGAGTCGAATCACAGTGATATTTACTCTAGGGTTATGCTTCATCTTCTTTACCAACGAGAGTGCTTCACGATCGTCTTTGCCTCCAATGAAGATCACACCAACATTGATCTCGTATCTTCTTGTTCCTCTCAGCGAGAACTGTCCACGGTCCACGAGAATCCCTATAGAACAAGATGCACTCTGGAGTAGTGACTCATTGAGACGTCTAATAGCCTCGTCCTCTGACTCAAACGTCCCATCTATGGTCCATTTCCTTCCCGAGGGGACGATAATAATCGATGCGACTTGTTCCAACGCGAGCTTGCAGATTTCATCGTGCATTAGGTTCTCGTGCGTGAGAGCAGTGAACATGGTCATGGTCACTGACTCCAACTGGCTGAATGCAAGGTGTGCTGTATGGATGTAGGAGTTAGTCACAACACGTTTTGATTTACTGTGGTGTGAGATTACCACGGGGACGATTTTGCCAACAAGCTTCACGAGATGGAGGACTGTGACCACGATGGTGGAGGGTAATAATTGGAGAAATGAAATGGCCGCAGAGATGTTCTCAGGTTTGTGTACACAAGTCAAGATCCGGAGATCAGAATTTGGTTTTAGATTCATGATGTTCTTTTTTTGGTAACCAACGTACTTCCGCTTCGGATCGTACAGTCCGGCCAAGGCCGTTGGGATAATTCCAGAGTTTATTAACGCACAAGCGATCAAGAACGTATATGTTGCCTGCGATATATACTGCAAAAAAACAAACCATATAAATATGTGAAGATCATAGCGAAATGGAGTGTGGATTGGGAGGGAAATTACCGAATCGTCGAATGTTGATTCGTAGAGAAATATCTCGGAGAAACTCTTAGAGCATAAGAGTAGGGAAGCGGCTATTGCCTCCTTGAGTGGTATCTTGCAGTACAAGCAAGGTACCAGCCCGGTCAGCATTTTCAAAACGCCCGTAAATAACATTAAGAAGATGTTGTACCCAATGTCATCATATTGGTAGACGATCTTCATCACGTCGCATCTCATCGTGCTGAATGTAATTGAGATCGGTGTAAGCACGTTCATTGTGAGAGCCTCATACTTGGCTTCCAAGGCGGATCCTATAGGTGGACCTTCGGGTATGATGAGGCCGAGTAAGAATGGTCCCAAAAGGTATTTCATATTGAAAAATGTTGTGTATGCAGCGGAAGCAATTACGCTCAAAACCGCAGCATGTACATACACATCTGCCACAGGTTTTCCTTCTGGTGTGCGTTCTACTATCCATTCTACGACCGGCCTTAAAACGCAAAAGACTACGAGAATCAAAATAATCACCGCTATAAGATCACGGTAGGCTGTCATTGGAGAGATATTCTTGTACGTTCCCGCAAGATAGGCTACTATGCTGACAATAGAAGCGAAGATGTCATTGATAAGGGATGCAGACAACACAAGGCGACCAAGCTCGGAATTGAGGATCTTGAGTTCCGACAGGAAATGAACGACAGTCGGTAAGAGAATCGAGGATTGGCTTGAGATGACCACAGTTCGCTCGGCAAGGACTTTACTCGGCGACAAGTATTGAGGGTCTATATTGTCTGTGTGGAGGTTTCGCACACAGAAGCCACCCAAAAAAGGAACGATGAAGCTCAAAACCCCGATCACGATTGGTAGCCATCCGTTGTTGAATGCTAATCGACGGCTGATTTTGACTGTCATCAAAAATGCAAGCATAATGTTTCCACACACCGAGAGGCCTCTTAGTGGCCCGTTTCCATCCAGTGCAGGATCCCACGATAATTTCCGCGATAATACCTCCCTAAGATTGAACAATTGAGGCCCCAGAATCAGACCAGCCTGAACATAATATACATTTCTTAGCACGCATAATTGTTAAATGTTGCTTAAAACGTTTTCGTGCTAGTCAAGTTACATCTATTTTTCTCTTACGTGACCGTCAAGTTACATGTGCAAGGATACTTACCAACATATAAGAGGGAATCGGGGAAATGCCGAAGCTTCTAAGAAAAATGTGAATCATGATGATGAATACAAATATGAGTAATATCTGAAATTCCATGAGAGGCAATGAATACCCGAAAATCACATCCGGCGATTTTAGGTTTTCCCAAAATCCATAAGAAGAGATGTTGAACACTAAGGGTATGCAACCGCGAATATAGGTCGTTGTATTCATAAATTGTAGAAACTTGGTGTATCAACTCTGGAGAATTAAGAAAACAAACAAAAAAAAAAAACTTCAAAGAACATGTGAAAAATCTATGGATATGAATTTCAGTGGTGATCGTGTCAATTTTGTTGTTTACTTTGTTTTGGTCTTTGATAAGTTTTTGATATTTTTTTCCTAAGAGTTAGTTAGTTAGTCAAAAACAGTTTGGATTTTGATTGGTATGATTTGTTGGAAGAATTACGAGCTGGAAAACCTATAAATATGTCCATATATATAAAAGACACAAAAAGTACAGAGTTTTATTATGTTTAGTTTGCTGACAACAACAAATATTTTCTGTTACTAATGGAACCTCAAATTTAGAAACACTTATCCACACACAAAAGAAAAAACTAGTTCTAAGATTCTATCAATTATTTGTTGAAAAACGTGAATCTACGAATATGGAGAATTTGATTCAGCCGTTAAAAAAAGCAAGCATTAGGTTAGAACTCAATTACTTATCGTTATGTCCAAATTTGAACAAACTGTTCGAGAAATGAAATGAAACTCAATTACTTATCTTGTGTCCAAATTTGAGTTTGATCCAACGGTGGAAATACTTTCACCCAGCACAATCGTTAGTATTCATTTGCATATATCTTTCATCATCGTTTTGCTTAATTTCATAAAAAGATGTCTTTCCGTTAAACGTATTTGAAACAACAACAAAGAACACACCAAAGAAAATCTATATATAATAGCAATCTCAATAAATGTCATTTGCACATCTGAACGGTTACGTCTTTTGATCGCAACCTTTCGTTTAAGTATTGGTGGTTATTTTCGGTTGGGTTTTTTTTTATCGCAACTCTTAGTTAAAATATTGACGGTTACTTTTTTGTTGACGGTTATTTTTCGGTTGTGTATTTTATGGCAACTTTTTGATAAAATATTGGCGGTTACTTTAATTTTTTTGTTTGTCTTTTTATCGTAATTTTCCGTTAACATATTAATGGATAATTTTCCTCAGTTGTGTCTTTTTATCGTAACTTTCCGTTAAAATATTGACGGTTATTTTTTCTAGGTTGTGTCTTTTTATCGCAACTTTTCGGTAAAATATTGACAGTTATTTTTTTTTCGGTTATGTGTTTTTATCGCAATTCTTTGTTAAAATATAAACGGTTACTTTTTTCGTTGACGGATATTTTTTTGGTTGTATCTTTTTTTCGTAACTTACCATTAAAATATTGATGGTTTTTTTTTTTTGTATCTTTTTATCGCAACTTTCCGTTAAATTATTAACGGTTATTTTTCAGCTGTGTTTCTTATCACAACTCTTTGTTAAAATATTGACGGTTAATTTTTTTGTTGATACTTATTTCTTGGTTGTATCTTTTTATCGCAACTTTCAGATAAAATATTGGCGGTTACTGTTTTCGTTTGTGTATTTTATCGTAATTTTCTGTTAAAATATTGACAGTTATTTTTTTGGTTGTATCTTTTTATCGTAACTTTCTGTTAAAATATTGACGGTTACTATTTTCTTTTGTGTCTTTTTATCGCAACTTTCCATTAAAATATTGGCGGTTATTTTTTCTCTGTTGTCTCTTTTTATCGTAACTCTTCGTTAAAATATTAACGGTTACTTTTTTCGTTTGTGTCTTTTTATCGTAACTTTCCATTAAAATATTGACGGTTATTTTTTCTAATTTTGTCTTTTTTATCGCATCTTTCGTTAAAATATTGACGGTTATTTTTTGGGACAGTTCTATTTGTTCAATTAGAGTCGTATTTTTTCAGTTTACGGTTGTATCTTTATAGTTGCATCTATTCATTTAAATACATTTCTTCACTATATTTTATTGCATTTTTTTGTCACAACTTTTTGTATGAATAGTTGTCTATTTAAATGTTAATGACTTTTGAACTCTATATATTTATCCTTCCTAAGTAGTTCCGAAATTTTTGTTCTTCAACATAAATTATTTGTTTCATGATGAATCCAAAAAAAATAATCTGAATTCTTTATTCTCTAAACTATTTCTAACATAGTACTTCATTTTAATGTGAAAGAAATTCTTCTCATTCTTGATATAACCAAAGTTTTTTGGAATGATTATAAAAACGGAAAAGTTTTAATCAACTTTACATATATAATTCTTATGAAGATACCAACAATTTTTTTCTTAGAATTAGACGGATTATATAGTGAATTTTTTTTAATTATTTGATATGGTAACAATGATGCTTTCCATCTTAAGGCAATATATATATGGGTTTTATATAAGGAAATATTGATGTTGCGTTAACACTAATACAATGTCCGAATATGAGAAGACATCCTCATGTGACGCTTGTGATTGGGCGTTTTAAATGTGGTAAGCGTCAAATGAACCGTTTCAAATGGTATAGTAATCCAGAAGTTATCTACATTGTTAGGAAAAAGCAATGATTCCAATTCGGCACATGAATATTCAAGGAAGAAGTTTTTTTACTCAGTTAATTTATCAATATAAATATAAATTTATGAGATCTTGTAAATGTTTATTTTTTTGTTATAGATGTAATTTACGTAATCAAATTTTATATTTTCTCGAATATATATAACAGAATAAATATTAATTTTATATTTAAAGAACAGTGGACAAACAAAAAACAATAGTTTTCGGGCAAAGTTTTTAGTCACCCACAAGTCATTCTGAGTACCGACTCCATCCGATTTTTTAGTTTTTGACCCGCTATAATTTCTCATCTCTATATTATAACTCTTCGTTATGTATTTTATCACTTAGAAATAATTTTATATTCATAAAAAATGTTTCAAAAGTATTTTTAATCATAATTCTTCTTTTTTACATTTTTATTCATAAATTGCTTTAACAGTTTTAGAAAATATTTACGATATAACTTTAAAACATAGTTAATTTTATGTAATAATTCATATATTTGAACATATTATCATAGTAATTTAATACATAAACACAATCAAATATATTTGTTGAAAATGAGTTTCCCCGCGACATCGCGGGGTTCATAACCTAGTAAAGAAAATAACAAAAAGGAAAATAAGAGAGAGAATATGATGATGTGTTAATATGAGTTTAGTAATGGAGTTAGAGTTGTTAAGTTTAGGAATACAGTAAAATAGAGTGAAAATGTTAGAAGCAACTTAATTTAATCTCCTTGACGAAAAACAAAATCTCATAGAAATGGAAATTTAAGACTTGGTGATGAAGAACATTTTTTTTTGTTTGAAGGATCTTTTAGAGTTTTGAAAACTAAAGAAAAATTTAGATTGTAATTTTTTTTAAATATGTCATCGTATAACAATGGAGTGCCGATATATTTTTTTTTTGATAACCGTGGGATCCCAAAGGCTTTCTAGGCCCAAAAACTAATCCACGAGTGCCGATATTGCATGAGATTTGAAAGGTTAAAGACTCAACTGGTGTTTAATTCAGATTTTATTTTTTATTTTTTTGTTAAGTCAACTCATGATTAGTTTATCCCTTAAATTAACATGTTAATGTAGTAGACCGGAAATGTAAATAAGAAAACAGTTTTGTCTGATCTACGTATTTGCAAGTAAACAAATTTTGTCATTCTTTTCTTTTCTATATTTTTTTGTTTCTAACCTCATCCAATATTTCAATATATAGATATATGAATGTATATTGTATTTAAACAAATGACTGACTATATATATATATATATATATATATATATATATATATATATATATATATATATTGATAAAGTAACAGTTGGTGCAAGAATTAGCACCCCTCAACCGAGAACGTTCCAAATTAAACTGAGCAATTCAGGTAAATCGGAGAATCTCGGTTATGCCCGTTACCAGGCTTATGGGCAAAAGCCCACAAAAGTCGCCAGCCGACCTCTCACCAAAAAGGAAAGGTCATCTTCAAACTCTCTATATCCAGAGAATAGGAACTTACCTCTTCAACAATGGCAAACATTTGAAGAAAAAGGCAATTCAAAGATCAAACCCTAAAAACAAAGAAATTTAGCTTATCTTTAGATCGTCTTCATTTCGTATAAATAGAGGAGTTTGTCCCTATTCGGGGGATCCACAATTTTCATATAAAAACCTTAATTCATTCTCTGTTCTTGAGAAAAAACCTTAATTCATCAAGAGATTAAAAACTCCCTTTGTAATCAAGTCTTTGATTGAACTTTTAATAAAGAGAGTTAATCAGATTTGTTTTCCCTCTTAAAACAAATTTATTGTGTGAATTCTAAATTCAACAATAACTATATATTTATACATGTTATTTTTTTCTAAAAACTTGTCCTAAAAAATAAATAGTCATGCAGTCAAAACGTGTCACGTTTGTTGTGTTGTTATTGTTGAACTACTAAACCGAGACCTTAGAGGTGAGATCTCTACCCGCCAGCAAATCCCCGATGACACCTAACTCTGGTAGTTCGACCCACTCCATTAGTCCTGACAAGTCTTGTGATGTCATATCATGATCTCTCCCGACCACCATTAGATCATACTCTTCGGCGAGCAATTGGTCACAAACCTCTATGTATAAACAATATCTTTGGTGTCTTCGGTACTCTTCAAATGCTTTAAGCCTTCGTTATCAAAATTGTAGTCCCAATCTAAATCTATTTCATGGTCGAAGACAAGTCGGATGACGGTTACACGGACCCTCGGGTTATGTTTCATCCTCTTCACCAATTATATTGCATCCCTATCATATCTTTGCCTCCAATGAATAGCAGATCGACATCTATGTTGTACCTATTTTTTCTTGTCACATTGCTTTCCGCGAGAACTGTCCACGGTCTATTAGAATCCCAATAGAACAAGGCGCACGGTCGAGTAATTAATTACTGGCTTAGATGTCTTACAGCATTGTTTTCAGACTCAAACATCACATCTATGCATGGTCCATTTCCTCCCCGATGGGACGATAATCATCGATGTCTAGCCCTGCAAAAAGGAAAAAAAAAACAATATCAGATTAACAAATTATATAAATAATCTCATATATATATCATGAATATTTACGCTCTATCAAAATCTAAATATTGTTTATATTTCCTCTG